TGACCTCGCCAGGCGTCCGGAGGGGGGAGACGCCCGATGCTCTCATGTGCAGCATCCCTTTCCACAGCCACAGCCACAGTGATCAGTACCAGGCCTGCTCCGGGCTGGGCGGTGTCTGGCTGGGTGGCGTCGGGCTGGGCGGTGGTGGCCAGGGAGGAGAGGGACTCGGAGGTTTAGGGCTGCGAGATGGTCGGGGAGCATTCTCTTGGTCCAGGCTCTGATCACAGGCAGGCAGGGCAGCAGCTGACAGTGGGCAGCTGGAAGGAAAGTGCAGCTGTGCGTCAGCTGCAACCACCTCCACACCACCATCTCCCAGCCGTCACACACCTGGGGGGCGGAGGGCGGGGAGACAGACCAGGCGGTTTGGGGGGGCGTGGGCTTGGAGGACGGGGCTTTGGAGGGCGTGGGCTTGGAGGACGGGGCTTTGGAGGGCGTGGGCGTGGCGGCGGCTTGGGCGGGCGAGGGGAGGGAGGCTTTGGGGATGGCGGAGGTGGAGGGCTTCTGCTGAGGCTGGTAATCTCCCACTCAAGCAGCACTGACGCGTTGTTGGCTGAGGGGCCTGGGTAGAGGGCCAGGCCGGGATCCCCGCACTCGGGAGCAGCGCTCCGGGGCTTGATGGCACCCACGTAGCGAGCAGGGCAGGAGGCGCGGCCCTGCGTGGTGTGCATTGGGACGCAGGCACAGGCGGGTGGGTGAGAGGGGTTGGGTGAGGGCGCATGTTGGCAGCAGCAGTGCTGGAGAACGCAACGGCAGGCCAACCTGCAGGCGGTAGCAGCCCCACAATACTCACATTGGTGCGCAGGTAGAAGCGGTTGGGCGCGCTGGGGGCCTGCTCCAGCACAAAGAGGCTCTTGGATCCCAGGCTGGTGGACTTGGTGGCGCAGGCGCTCACCGTGCTCAGGAAGCTGCGGGCGGTGCAGTTGCGTGCGCGGCGCTCCAGCTGCAGACCAGAGGTGTACGCAGGGACGGTCCCAAAACACGACGAGCATGCATGGTGGGGAGGGGAGGCAGAGAAGCAAGGGAGCATGAAGCCGTCAGATGCGGTTCTGGGCGAGCAGGTGGGCTAGCAGGTGCAGGGGCCTGTGACCATCCGGCCCGGCCCACCTGCAATGAGACAGCCTTGCCGAGCAGGTTTGCTGGGCTGCCTGTGCCAGCGGCGAGGAGCCAGGTGGAGCGCCCTTCGCCACCAGAGCTCAGTAGGAGCGCTTTTGAGGGCCTGCAGCGGGCAGTCGACAGGTGGTGGGAAGAGAACGGGCAGGTGGCCCGGGTTGTGGATGAGGATGTGCAGCGAGGGCAGCACATGACACTGGCTGCCGTGCCATGGCAGGCTGGGTTGCGGAAAGCGAGGCAGGTAGATTTGCTGGCAAGGCCCGCAAACTCACCCAGTGCAGAGGCTACCACCCAGCCAGCCTGAGCACAAATGGAGAGAATGCGCAGGCATGAGGGTGTGTTGAGTGAGGAGGAGGGACAAAGGATACAGCAGCAAGGGCAGGCAGACAGAGGCGGGGGCAAATGCCCCCCCTCAGGCGGCACCACTCTTTCCAAAGAGTGCAAGTTGCAGTCAAGCCGCGCGGTTTGCACCGGCTGTATGATGCGGCTCACCAGACGAGCCGATGCAGCCCGTCCGTCCTACCAGAACAAGCCAGGTGCGCCCGCTTGCTATGGGGACGGCGCTGGCACCTGCACAGCATGCAGTGGGGCGAGGAGTGGTGAGGGCAGCGCTGCACCTCGCCGCCGATGCTACACCCCCAATCTGCTGAACACTGGTCCACCCCCTCTCTTGATGCCCCTTGATCACGTGTGCCCCCTGCCCAAGGTCTGCTCACGCGGCCTATCATAGCGGGGTGACTGTAACACCATAGGGGACCACTTTTCACCGGTGCGCTTGCGCAGCCAGCGCGCCAGCGCTACACATAGCATCCCTCCACAGAGCTGGCGCAGGCGCAAGCGCAGTGCCATCCCTGACCGACTCTATGATCCACCAGCAGGAGTCCGCGTGCAGCGACAGGTCAACTGGTGCGAGCGCAGAGCTGGGCAGCTGCCCCTGCTCCCCGTCCCTTAGGGCAAGTGCTGGCCTACTGGGGCACTGTCCCCAGGGCACATGCCACTCGCGATCACCTGACAAGGCCGCTAGCAGGGCCATAGTGGCCCAGGAGAGAAGGCATAGGCGCATGGACGGCATGTCGCCAGACCAACACCGGGTTTACTGCGGCCAACACCCGGTTTGAGGGCGCTGTCCTCGGGTGGCTGCGTGTACGACTAGCAGGCTATAAAATGAAGCAATTGGTTCTCATTCGCATCCTACATGGCAGCGACCAAACTCGCTGCTGCCGAAAGGCTTGTGCCCCCTCTACCATACCCTACCCGTCAGTTTTGCATGAGAAGGTGTACATTGCAACGCAGCTTGAAGTCTCACAGAGTCTGCTAGAACGGGACAGGGGTCGGTTGGTGCCCCAAGCTGGAAGCGCAAGGGCCAGCGAAACCACTGGCGCAGCTCCTGGAGGAGGTTGCAAAGAGAGGCGGCAGCCGGCTGGAGCACTATGTGACCACTGTGGTGAGTACCGACAACTTGGCACCCAGCATGCGTTGTCTGCGGGATGCCTACTTGCATGCGGTGCGCTCTGCGGCGGCGCAGGACCGCGAGGCGCTGGCGCTGCCCCCCGCCTCCCGCTTCCTGCCGCCGCTAAAAACCAGCAGCCACCAGCAGGCCAGCCAGCGGCTGCTGCAGGTGCGCGCCGTGCCTTGACAGTCACCAACTGAGGCAGGGCACACCGGCGGCGTGACTCACCCGTACGCCGAGCGTGGGCGGAGCATGCCGTTCATGCACCACCACCCGCAGCAGCGGCTGGCGGGCGCCAACCAGGAGGGCCGCTGGCGTTCTCTTAGCGGCATGAGCACCAGCTGCAGGCCCATGCTATCTAGTGCAGCCCTGCTGCACCAGCATCCACAAGCAAGCGACGGCAGGTGTGGCTGGTCCTTGGTCGGTGGCCGCTGACCAGCTGGGGACCAGTCTCTCCCGCACACACTCCTCTCTACAGTCGCAGCGCCCAGCAGAGCGGCACCCAGCCCAGCAACCATCTCAGGTAACAGCTTGCAATAGGTTGTGAGGGCTTCAATCAGACTCCTCTCCGCCCGTGCTCTGTCTGCACCCCCTCTCTCTCCCCGTTTGTGTATGGTGCTTTCACCTTTCCAGCTGCTGCACCACAGCTGGGCCCGTAGCATTCTTTTGCTCCTTATGGGTGTAACAGACGGGCAGACAGACAGACAAGGGCGCTCACCTGGTGATGGCGGCAAAGCGTGGGCTGGAGGTGTGGCGCATAGGGCGTGCAGGTGGTGCCGCTGCTGCCGCCGCCGCCACCTCCGCTGCGGCAGCGCAGCATATCGGCGATGGACACGGGGACTCCCCCCCTGTCCTTCCACGGCGGGCATTCAGAGTGCCCTCGCCCCACGCGCCCTGCACAACACTATGGAGGGCCAACTGGGGCGGCGAGGTCAGCCGGCTGGCCAGCTGCCCGTGGGGCCTTTGTACGGCGGCTGGATGCAGACATGCGCTGTGCAAGCAGAGGAGGGCTCACCTGCACTGGCCTGTGGGCTCCTCACCCCATGCGCTCGCCACCAAAGCGCCAGCAAGAGATTTGTGTCTGGAAGTTCATCACAGCCGAATCGGCCATCGTGGCGAAGTGAGAATGCGCGATCCAGATCCGGACCAGTCCGGAAATTCAAACCATGCCCCCAGCATGAGCCGACGACGGCTGGGCAGAGGCAATGGGGGGCGGCCTGGGGAGATCAGCTGATGCGAATGGGCAGATGCTCATCCCTTGCTGGCCGTGGTCTAACGGCAGGGGCAGAGGTTGCCGAGCGCGAGGAGGTGTCCATGTAAAGGTAAAGGTGGGGAAGAGCCTCCACAAGCTTCACTTCCCGGTTTTAACGTCTAGCTTTAGACCATTATTTGATCTGCCCGACGCGCCAAGTGCAGTACCCCCCACTAGTAGTGAATGGGTCCCGGGGAGGCCTGTGCCGAAGCCTTGGCGATTCTATTAGGCGTTCCCGAAGGAATTGGCTTGGATTGGCGCTGAGCCGGTCACCGGGCGAGGAGGTCATTTGGCCTTTACCTGCCCAAGCCTTGCCGACGACATCCTGAATGGGCGGCTGTCGGTAGGATGTGCATAGGACGTGGCCGTAACCCTAGTGCGCTGGCAGGCGCCCCCGCCGCCCCCGACAGCGACAATACCTGAATTGATTAAACTAACATGAAAAAAATGGACATCACCATCCGACAAACACAAGCAAATGCTGCAGTCGGCGGTGCCAAACCAGCAACCGCAGGCTGCCGTGCGTTGTGGAGCGGGCCAGGCAAGGGTGGGCGTCGATAAGCAGTTTTAGCTCTGCTCGCTGAAATCATTTTATGATGTGGCTGTGTTGCTGGCATCGAGCGCCAACAGCTAGCTCTGAGGGAGCGATGCTCTGAGGGAGCGATGCTCTGAGGGAGCGATGCGTGTAATGCAAGCATCGCTGTGGAAAGCAGCATTCAATCCAAAAGGGATGCGGGAGACATGGGAGGCAACAAAACAGGCGGGCGCTGGGCGGCAACTTGCATTCATGGTCCGAGGCTGAAGAAGAGACGTAGTGACGCAATACGTAAAGAGGATGTGTACGATGCAAAAAGCCTTTTGAGACAAGGCATCAGAAAAACGAGGTTGGATGGAAAAAGGCGGGGGCCTAGCGCGCATGTGCCGCCGGCGCTCAATCGCAGAATAAAGAGTGCCAGGCGGGATCAAGGTTCAAAACAGCCGTGCCGGGCGCGGCACCAGCGGGCTCAGTGACGCCGACGAACAAAACAGGCGCAGGACTGCGGGCCTGTGCCCGCCAGCCCGCTGCAGAGCGCGCTCCAGAGGGCGCGGGCAGGTGGTGGTGCCCCGGCGCGGGGTGGTGGTGCCCCGGTGCGGACAGGTGCTCGCCCCCTCGAGCTCATCCCTCCACCATTGTGCGCCCCTCCGCCCTCACCCCTCCCGCGCCAGCCCGGCCAGGGTGGCAGCAATCTGGTCGAAGCTGGGCCGGCGCTTGGGGTCGTCGTCGAGGCATGCCTCCGCCAACGCCTGCGCACGCAAGGGCAGAGGGCAGGGGCGGGGTGAGGAGCTGCTGCGGGAAGTTGGGCGGGCGTTTCAAGTTGGGGAGGCATCAACACCACAATCGAAAAAAACACAGAACGGCACGCAAACACAGCACAGCACACCACGGCGCAGCGAAACTGGCCACTGCTGTCAGCACAGAAGCGGCGGCAGCGGCTGGCCTTGTAGCCGGCGGGGCAGTCGGCGGGCACGGCGAGGCGCTGGTGCTTGGCGGTACGGGCGTACAGGATCTGTACCGCACTCTTTCCGGCCCACGCCCGCTCCCCGCAGTACATCTGTGGAGGGGGGGAGGTACGCACAGGCAGGGGGTGGGGTGCCACCAGTGGTTGTTGGGAGGGGAAGATCTTCCCCTTTGCTGGT